CGACAAGGTGGCACCCAATGGGGGGGGGGCAAGGTGGCACACAATGGGGGGACAATAAACCAGTACAGGTGGTCCCAGTGGTAATCGGCACACTGAGTGCCGTGCCAAAAGATCTCAGCTGGCATTTGCAAATAATAAACATTGACAGAATCACAATCTGTCAACTGCAAAAGGCCACCTTACTTGGATCTGTGAGCATCATTCAAAAATATATCACATACTCCTAAATGCTTGGGACTTGTGATTTTGTGATGTGAAATCCAGCATATATATCTCATTTGCTGTGTCATGCTACATTTTGAGTCAGTAAAATAATACCTGAAATGGAGGTCCCTGAAATTCAGATCTTCCTTCCTTTTCCCATTCTCCAAAGAACTCCATTCCAGGTTTTGTAAATTACCTTGCCTCAGAAGAAGGAGGGAGGAGAGAAGAGTGGAGCTACAGACACCTCCATTTTATAGTTTTTGAACTGCTTTGCTTTTTGAGAAAGGAACGAAGCAAAAATCAGCCAAAATTGGGAATGTGACTATTATGCAAGGACAACAAAAATGCCATTATTGACAGCCAAAAAAATGAGGGTGCGACTATTATGTGGTGACAACTATTATACGATAAAATCCGGGAAACATTTGCTCAAATGCATTAAAATGCTCCATAGACATAACTATTAAATGTACATATACAGAAAATGAACTACTATACTAAAAAGGGGGAGAGTGCAATCAGTTTAAGTGGTCAATGCAGACTCTAAGATACTCACCAGGTATCTACGTAAATTTAAGTCACTCACCTGTCACCTTCCACATCTTGAATTGTCTCTGGCAACTGAATGTTAGTGGTCTCTGACAGTAGAAAAGCCACAGATCCAGCCAACCCGGCCACCACACTAAATATCATGGGTGGAAGGTATTTCCATGTGTCATCCAGTAACATGACCAGAGGAGCTATGGAGCTGGCAAGCCGTGCCACAAACGAGCAACAGCCGACACCACTTTGCCTGAAAATGTAACAAGAAGCAGGTTTACGGTACTGGCCAGACTCCTCTCTTGAAGAAACAATAATCTGATTTTTTGAGGGTGCTCCTTTTCTACTTGTGGGGTATGTGTTTTGATTTGCAGTTTGGTGGTATTGTGCATTCTGTCATCTTAGAGAGACTTTTCCTTAGCTCATTCAACCAGATGTATAGATCTAGCCTCAGATTTACTTAATCAGATTTTGATTTTTTTTTAATCGTATCAGGAGCAACTTGGGAAACTGCAAGTCACTTCTGGTGTGAGAGAATTGGCCATCTGTAAGGATGTTGCCCAGGGGATGCTCGGATGTTTTGATGTTTTACCATCCTGTGGGAGGCTTCTCTCATGTCCCCACATGGGAAGCTTGAGCTGACAGAGGGAGCTCATCTACGCACTCCCCAGATTCAAACCAGCAATCTTCAGATCAGCAGTCCTGCCGGCTCAAGGGTTTAACCCATTGCACCACTGGGGGCTTTGTTGATCATTAAGCCTAATAATACATCTCATGTCCACCTGAGTTGGTTTTTGCGTTCCTTTACAGCAGTGGTTCTCGATCTGTGGGTCCTCAGATGTTTTGGCCTACAACTCCCAGAAATCCCAGCCAGTTTACCAGCTGTTAGGATTTCTGGGAGTTGAAGGCCAAAACATCTGGGAACCCACAGGTTCAGAACCACTGCTTTATCGAATAAACTTTAAGAAGCATCAAGAGAAGAGACCTCTTTAAATGGAAGGAGGACCTTTGCTTCTTCAGGTGTTTTGGACTTCCCCTCCCCAAAACTCCACCAAGCATGGTCAATGGTAATGAACCATGGGGATTGGAACTCAGATCAATTATGAGGATTGAAGTCCAAAGGTTATCTCGTTATTTGGATTTCAATTTCCACAATTCAAAGGTTCTTACCCCTGTACTTATGATATTGCCCAATGAAGAAGATGAGCTTGACTTCCTTCCACCCTACAGCTCTGAAGCTCTTTGGTCTTGGGCTCAGTCAGTGGCTAAGTCCCTTACCTGAGTACAGTAGGGTAAAGCTCAGCAGTATATAGGAAGACAGTAGTGAAGGCGGCTTCTGAGAAACCTTTCCCCAAGATGGCCACAGCTGATCTGACATGTCCATGTTCTGATAAAGAAGCAACAGGAAATGTGATTCACTCTAGGTCATTGTGCCATTCATGTGAAGCATTAGGAAAAGCAGAAACCACAGGAAATTCTCCCCTCTTCTATATCTCATTGTCATCTATAGATGTTGTGATATCATCTTTGGTTTTGGCCCCAACCATATGTAGGACCGGACTGTGATACAGCTAGTTAGTAGCTAGCTGCATTAAATTACTACTGACCAAGAGGCCATGAGTTCGAAGCCATCCCGGGTTGGAGTAAGCTCTCGGCCATGAATAGTCTACCTTGCTGTCTACCTATGCAGCCTGAAAGACAGTTGCATCTGTCAAGTAGGAAATTTAGGTACCACTTTATGCCGGGGGGGGGGGGGTAATTTAACTAATTTACGATGCAACGTGAAGAAGAATGAGGAAGTACTCCATCAAAGGACTTGGTGTCACAAGTGGACGGTGAAGTGGAGGCTCCCCCTGTGGCCAGAATCGAGCCAGAATAGAGCATACCCTCATGAAGCTGGAAAAGCTGGATGTTAAATGTGTCTGTGTCTGTCTGTACATTCATCCCACAAATAACTAGTCTACTTCCATTGTTTATATATGGATGTTTTGGCTGCTTTTTGCAGAAAATCAGAATATTGTTTTGGGGAGTCAAGAAGTATTAGGGGTGAAAGCAGTAGTATTTGGGGTATCATATCTCAGCAAAAATTAGGTGCTTGGGAATTATTTGGTGGGTTTAGGGAACACCTCAAGCGCAGAAAAATGGGCTGAGACTACATGCCACCTGTAGACCACACTTTTATCATACTTACTGTGAATTAATAAAGATTCTGGGCTTTGGGAGGAATAATAATTGATGATTTCTCACAGGAATAATCCATTTGATTTGCAAAGTGATGGCTACACAATCAGGAAGAGGAATTTCTCACCTGCAGGGATGATTGTATTTAATGCGATCAGGGATCCTGTTACAATGAGAGACCATCCCTGGCAATGTCGGCGGCCAATATGATCCAGGACAAAATACACACCAAGTTTGGCAGGAATCTCAATGGCCCCAAACGTTAACTGTGTCAGATATGGATCCAAGCTGAAACCCCCAATGTTTAAGCTGATGCCGTAATAGGTGAAGGAGACGCCAAACCTGCAAAGCAA